GTTGTTTTTTTTTTATTTTCCTTTTTGGTTCGCATAAAGTATGTTGGTTCAATCAAGATCCAGTAGTGGTTGGAACTTGGAAGGAAGTAACTAAAATAAATGTTCCTGAAACTAAGAATTGGGAGTCTGCTTCATTCGCTGCCAGTAGTAGGGAATATCCGTAGTTGTGTCGTCATGTCGGTTTTGTACTTTCTGTTGGGTGACGAGAGATGCCTTTTGCCCTTTCCTCTTGCGTGCCCATGGTCGTGGTCTTGCGCACATTATTATTATTCTGTGGTGCAAGTCAATTTAGTGGACATGTTAAGTTTTGTTATGGATTTTTGTCAGATGCCACCTTTCCATTTCGTGGTGTATCAAAAATGGACTTAAAAAAAAATGTTTCTTTTAAAAAACTACCCATTCAAAATATAATCAAACCATTGTGCACGTATATTGATGAAACACATTCATCAAATTCAATAGTAGTTTCCTACTTGAAGGGAAGCAAGACACATTAAAGTTAGCCTGGTGATAACTAGCAGGATGGTCCAGGTGGTATAATAGTTGGTCGCCATGGGACTGAAATTGCCGAGCTTTACCCGCACAATCTAATCAGAGGAGGCAGGAGGCATTATGTTGTGCACTGTACTCTCTGCTCCGATGCCCCAATCTTTATATCTTTTCGGATGTTTCTCGCCGTGATTTACTGCTGCTCTTCCCCATGGCGCACTATTAGGCGTGAAGCCCCCTTTTGCTTTTACTTTTCACTTTTCTCTCGTCAATTGGTCCCACCTCTTATTTTTGTCAAGTTTGCTTCATGATGTCTGATGAACATGCTTACTGCTAGTACATGCCTCGACAAGCATCCAAAGTCAAATGCTTGGGGCGGTTGGGACTAAAATCCTACCATCATGTTTTTCCAGCTTGCTCCTTTTCAAATTTTCAGCGTTCATTTTTTCGCGATGGATCTCTCTGAAGTTGGTGCGATCTGTTTTTGCAGAATATGCTTACACGGTGCAAGTCGATGAGAAGAGTGACATTTATAGCTACGGCGTGGTGTTATTGGAAATCTTGGCCGGGAAAAGATCCGTGGATGCAGAATTTGGGGATGGGAATAGTATAGTAGATTGGGTGAGGTCTAAGATTAAGAGTAAAAATGGTTTTCTTGATATTCTGGACAAAAATGCTGGTGCGTCGTGTGCCTCCGTGAGGGAGGAAATGATGCTAGTGCTAAGAATTGCATTGATCTGCACCAGTCGAAATCCCGCTGACCGTCCAACTATGAGGGATGTAGTATCAATGCTGCAAGAGGCCAAGCCGAAGAGGAAACTGCCCGGAGGCGGCGGCGAAGAAAATGGCACCGCTTGCGATGCTATTCCTTTGGCACAAAAGCCGGCACCTATAATTGAATGTTAATAGGATTGGGATTTTTTTTTTTTGGGGTTTTTTTTTTCCACTTTTCTAATTTTGATTGTGGGGATTGGTATAGGAAAGTCAAATTTTTTTTTCCCTCTTATTTCCACTTCCAAGTGTTCTGATTCTATCACTTGCCGTGACTCGCACCGCACATTAAGCTTGTGAAATGGTTCTTAATATATATGCGTGCAAATTTCATAAACATCGAACCCTTGATGAGGGATGGATTGAGTTTTTGTTGAATCGCTATTGGTGATAAATTCAGGTACCGGGGAGGAGGCTACAACTTCAGTCGAAGAAACAAATGAAAGCACCGCCGAAGCAGCTTAAGCATCATCACCTCTCTCCACCGGAAACATATGGACCTATTGTATTATTGTTCCCCAACGGTTCTAAATACGCGTCACTCGTAAAAAAAAAAAAAAAAAATCTTGCGTTCAAATTCAAATTTAGACGACATAACGTACATTTAATTTCATTAGTGTATACATTAACAACGTAAAAAAAATTTAATCAATATAATAATAATAATAATGTTCCTCGTATCACTCCAAATGTCAAATATGCGGGATGATTGAGAGAGTTGAAAGAAAATGTTGTTAAATTTCACCATGCAACGTCCGCGCGTGCAATACGCCAAAGTGTAATAGTGCAAGATCAGAAGGCTTTTATACGCTAAGGGGTGAGAATTGCTGAATTGAATCTTCTAGACTCTTCATCAAGCTGTATGGAATGCAACCTTAAACTTGTCTCTTGTGCCTGCAAATTGAGGGTCTCAACTTTCAATTAGATCTGAAGCTTTTCGAGTTCAACTAATCGGATTGTGCATGGGAAATGTATTGCTATACAATGCACTAATTAATTACACGCAATAGTTTCGTAGAAAACCCCCATTTTGATAACTGAGGTTGGGTTATGGGAAGCCACTATTGGGTCTAAACTCGAAATGCGCCATCAGCCCACTTCGAAGGCAAGGTCCGTTTAGATCGACCATTTTTTTTTTTTAAAATTTTTTTTTTTAAATACAATGTTATAGTAATATACAAATAAAAATAATTAAAAAAAATCTCATCCATACAATATATCAAATATTTCAAAAAATATTTATAGTAAAATTTTTTATATACATTGCTATATTAAAATTTTTTTAAAAACACTCCAAGAAACAGTTAATCCAAACAAACAGAGATAGATAGACATATCTTATAAGTTAGACCCAGAATAGAAAAGAAAAAAAAAATCCTGTAGAAACTCACCGCCAATGATGCTAACGTGGCCAAATTCTTTTCGAGCATAATAGCGCAATCCTTCTCTTCGTTCGCTATGACTGAAAGCTCAGTTAACATGTAACATAGTCGCTCAACCTGCGCCAACAGAGCCCTCAAACCGAAAATTGCAGAACTTACAGAAGTCGGTTTTTATAATATGTAAACTGAATTGATTCATGCGATAATCCTTCGGTGTTTTAATTATACCTGCGCTTGAATATTTTCGATCTTTGCTCCTATGTTTTCTATAACTCTCGTCGCCATGATCATCCAATCAAGCAATGACGTTACATCTGCCTGTGCAAGCAAAGAATTGAGGATTGATTAGGAATTAGAATCTCGTCCTACGAGTGGAAATTAGGTGAAAAAAATGTATGAGGATCACAAATTCACAACTAACCAACCATGAAGAGATTATATCAAATGCGTACCTTTGCACCCTGGTCCAAAGGGAGACAGCGTGACATTGCTGACAATTTCGTCGCCAATCTTTCCGCAGCTTCACGGTTCTTGATCTCCAATCTCGCCCATTCTTTTAGCAAACAGAATTCTGAACGGAGTATATGATATAATTTGATCTGCTGGTTGAGCCTTTGCAGCTGAATTCTTTTTCCAGCTATGGCGTTTTTCATTATAGACCCTTTTAGCCAGAAGTTGAAAAGCTTCTTCTGCGCAGCTCCCTTGACCGCAGTCGTTGAAACCTGAGCTCTTGCATTGACAAACCTCCACTGCAATAGTGCATTATGTATAATGCGACACCGATGGTGTTCTTCTTCTTGTAGGCGGGACGCTTTCTTGATCTTCTTGCCCAAGTACTTCAAGACCCCACCTACACCACTGCTACCCTTATCGCTGCAAGGGTCCCTCTTCGATTTTGACACTAAATCAAGTGGCCGCCGAGGTGCCGGTGACGGGGGATGCAATGATCGACCCGGTGATAAAGCCCAAGCAGAGGGAGAAGTACTAGCGGACCTCGATCGTCCAGGCACGTCCATCTTACTTTGACCGCGCAGTAGAAGCTTGTTAGCATCATCTCTGCTCTCCGGAGGTAATTTCTTTCGATCGATTCTTGACGTCGGAGTACTCTCCTCGACTTTACGAGACCTTGATTTTGAGGGATTCAGCAATGCGGGCCGAGAATTTGGTGCTTGCATATGTGCATCCGCTGGAGCTGGTCTGCTTTTGCTTTGCAGCAAGGGAGGCGAACGAGTAAGATTAGTGAATGGATGATGCTTCTTATGGCAAGTGTTGCCATTGCTGCTGTTCTCCATTTGATGGATGCCTTTGCTAATGCGGGTTTTGGACCCAGCAATGTGGAATGCCATGCGTATATATGTGAAGTTCTTGAACGTAACTGTTTGTTTGTCCAAGCTAGCAACCATGGCCTTTTGAGTGGAAACCACGTTTGAGTGGCAAGGACTAAAGAATGAGAAACGAGTCGGCGTTCAATTAATGCTTCCACGAATTTTGACATTGGCACCGAATAGGTTGGTAGGTAGTCGTTTGGTTGTTCTTTCGAGTTTTATTATACTCGCATAATTTTTCATTGGTGGGAGGGATGCCTCTTTTTTTTTTTGAGAGACGCTGGTGGGAAGCCTGTAAACGTAGCCGTCTTCAAAATTGAAACTTGTCAATCTCCTGATTACAAAAAAAAAAATCCATATCACCTGATTTGCAAAAAAAAAAAAAAAAAAAAAAAAAATTTATCCTTCTTACATCGTTAATATAATTTTCAATCACTTTTTTATTTCACCTACATTACATCATAAAAAAATACTACTCCCTCCGTCCCACTTTGATAGTCCTGTTTCTTTTTTCACACAGTTTAAGAAAAAGTAGTTAATTTTGTTGGAAAAGTAAATTTAGATTGCTATTTTCCTAAAATACCCTCACATTAAATAGAGTACAACTTTATGGGAACTTGAATTGATGGTAAAAAAAGAATCAACTCTCATTAAATGGGGTAGGTTTATAGCAACAACAACTTGTATTGAATAAGGGTATTTTAGGAAAATGAAAATACAATTACATTCTTCAATTGGAAAGTGGACTGTAATTTGGGACAAACAAAAAAGAAAAACAGGACTATCAAAGTGGGACGGAGGGAGTATAATAATTATTTTAAATAAATATTTTAAATAACCTCTTATCCAAACACGCTCGATGACTTTCAATTAACATGTATTACACTATAAAAAGTGTTACAGTAATTATTTCAGATATCTTTGCTTCTGTTGAGAGACTTTCAACTAATACTGCCTTAAATGGATCAAACCCCGTGCTATTTTAACCATCTCTTCGCTTATATACTGACCTGGCAAACGATCAGTAAAATCTGAGGGACGCATTTTAACCACTCCTACCCCTCCCTGGAGCACTTGATCATATCCGTCTTCCCGCCAAATTTTCCCACACCCTGCCCAGGTCCCGTCCGTACGCCATTCCGTGGAGGGATAGACTGCCGAGATACGCCCACTACTAGCGCAAGCACTACCACTTCCCCCATAACAGCCTTCCACTATTCCGTGAAAAAGAAAAGCGCTTCGTTAGTTTTTTCTTTAGGAGGAAGGAACCTCGATCCCCGGTCTGATGGCGACATCTAGGGTTTACACAGACCCAATCCTAAGGCCTCGGCGTCTTCAGGCAGGCATCATCTCCAGAATTCGACTAAGAGATTTTATGTGCCACTCTAATCTCGAAATCGAACTGGGAGATTGGGTCAATTTCATCACTGGTCAGAACGGAAGTGAGTCTTCTCTCTATTTCTTTATACTATCTCTCTCACAAAGACACACTCTAATTCTTTACTAAGTTTCTCCGGTAAACTGTGTGGGTTCCAACTTCGTGGAATCTTCATGCTTCTTGTTTCGTGGGCTGCAAATTTTTGTCGATTTGAATGGGTATAGGTGGGAAGAGTGCGATACTGACGGCTTTGTGCATTGCATTTGGATGCCGAGCTAAATCCACACAAAGGGCTACTACGATGAAGGATTTCATAAAGACAGGATGCAGGTTTTCAATTTTATCTCTTGTTCTGATGTGCCTCCTTTTGAAATATTTGCATTACTGTTGCAGTGTGAGTTCAATTATTGTCTTGTAAAGATGAATACAGTGACTGATATTTAGGATGGAAAGTATTTCTTAAGCAGGCATGCCACGCCACGTCTTACCCAACTAACCATAATGAAATACTTCTCGAGTTGTTGAACGTGTTTTATCTGGTATTTGGGTATTGCATGACAATACTATGCCCCTGAATTTTCTTTTGAAGCAAGGATGGTGGGCATGAGTGGTTGCTACATATTACGAGAGGCTTTGATTTTTCTTTTGGTAGTGGGGACAGGGTCATGCTGTGGGCTGCAGGCTGTTCAACCACTGTAAACAGTGGTCATTTGCAGGAGGGAACAAATAATATAGTTGTTTAGTGCTGATGAAGGGTATTATGTATTCAATATCATGTTATTTAAGCTGCAAGTTTTGTTTTCAAAGATTTTTCTTCTATCTGGCGATTCATCCAATGTACTTTATTTGGTGGTTGTTTGATAATTACTCACACAGGTAACTTTTTTGTTCAAAGTTAGCTAATTCGTACAAGCATACTATGGTTCTAAGTGATTTTCATCATGGTCATGTTTCGTTATAGGTCTGAAGGGTGTATGTAGGGACCATTACAACCGAATTTTCAAATATGTTTTCCCTAATTGAACTTAATAAACTTTATTGGCCTTGTTTTCATCTGCAGCTCTGCATCTATATGGGTGGAAATAAAAAATCAGGGTGAAGATGCTTTCAAGCCAGAAACATATGGTGACATGATCATTCTTGAGAGAAAGATTTTGCAGTCAACTTCTACCACCATTTTAAAGAGCTATGAAGGTGTTTATAGAATGCTTTTGGAATTTAATTTTCTTTTCAATAACTATGAATTACGACATTCTGGAACTTTTTATTTTCTCAATGTTTATGTGAACTTTATGGCTGGAATTGAAGAGGTTAGGCTCAGTTAGACAACAAAGAAAACAGCTGTAATCTGAAAAAGGAAGTAACTATGTGCATTTAGTTTGCTCAAAGGAGCAATGGAGATGATCTCAAGTTTAGCATCATTCTGTTTTATGCATCCCCATGGAACGTTTTTGTACAGAAGCCCATCATTAGATCGAGATGCTGGTAGTTTTGGTAAATAAAAGCTAATTGGCAATTTGATCTTTTCAAGCAACATAAAGGACTTAGTTGACTGTAAACCTGATTAATCTAATTTCGAAATTCATTGCACGCAAAGACTAATTGTGGCATGAAATTTAACGAGTGAGGGAGTGTGTGTCTCTCTGTGTGGAGAGGTTTCTAGATAGTCTTATTTCTTAAGGTAAAAAGGGGAAGAGTTTCAAGATTTATGATAGTGAACTAAGCCGTTTTATCTGAATTAGGTTGATTGATGTCTTCATCATTGCTCTCACCTATCGTCCTTAGTTCACTAGGTTATACCACACCACTAAAATTTGAACTTGAATGCTTAGAGGCTATGGATGGAATCCGGCATCCGGACATTTTAGTTGCTGTGCTTTACTATTTTGAGCTAATTATTAGTTGGATTGCTGGGATTACTTGTATTTGAACTTTATTATCAAGAAAACTTGGTTTGTGATTTGTGTATGCTACAGTCAGATATTAGCTTGGAGATAGGAAGGTAAGAATCCAAATAGTGGTAAGTAGTTGTAAGCTGTCATCTTCCCTATTCATTGTTTAAACAAGGATCTGATAAAAAATATGAAACATATATATGCTCCATGATAACGAATTGACACTTGGGATGGAACTTTTAGACATCAGGCAGAACATCTAGGAAAAGTAGCTTTTGACATGGTTAGTTTAAAAGTTTATGTGTTGATTATTACTTCTTAGAATGCTCGAGTTGATAAATACTCTGTCATCTTTCTTTTCAATAGTTCTCATGTTATTATAAGAATTATCCAGACAAATTTTTTATGCCAAGAAAAGTATAAATGTGTTCATCTTAACCATTCAAATAGTAATGTCTACAAAACTGGATTCTAGACTTCCCTTATGTCATTGATAAATTTTCCTTTGGCCAGAAAAGATCTGATAGTTATTCTTTTTTCTTATCAATGAATTTGTTTATGAACAAAAAGAAGAACTGAATTGTTCTGTCATATCATTTGTTCTAGACTCTGTACAACATTTATACAAATGGAATTTGACTTTTGTCAATTCCATGAAATCTGTAATTTCCTAAAAATTAGGAGCTAATTTATTCTATCCTAAAATACATTAGGAGTAAATTATTCTATCCTAAAATAGAGCAGAAATCATGGGACATAGCAGAAATCATGGGATATACATAGAAAAAGATATTCTAGATCTCAACACTCCCCCTCAAGATGGTGAATAGATATTTTTCATTCCCATCTTGCATGTAATGTCTTCAAAGTTGGAAGTTGGCATTCCCTTAGTTAAGACATCTGCCAATTGATTATTTGATGCTACATATGGAGTGCAAATCATGCCACTGTCCAGCTTTTCTTTAATAAAATGTCTATCAACTTCGATGTGCTTTGTGCGATCATGTTGCACTGGATTGTGTGCAATGTTGATGGCAGACTTGTTGTCGCAATAGAGTTTCATAGGTCCTTCCCACTTGATTTTAAGATCATCAAGTATTATTTTGAGCCATAGCAATTCACAAACTCCATGAGCCATAGCTCTAAACTCTGCTTCCGCACTTGATCTTGCAACAACCGATTGCTTCTTACTCCGCCATGTCACTAGGTTCCCACCAAGAAATGTACAATATCCTGAAGTTGATCTACGATCTACAACAGAACCTGCATAATCAGCATCAGTATATGCCTCTATGAGCAATCCTTCATTTTTCTTGAACAAAATTCCTCTACCCGGTGTCCCTTTGAGGTAGGATAGAATTCTATTGACAGCCTGCAAGTGTTTCTCTCTTGGATCATGCATAAATTGGCTTACTACACTTACAGCAAATGCTATGTCCGGCCTTGTATGGGACAAGTATATCAGTTTCCCAACCAACCGCTGATATCTTCCCTTATCTACTGTGCTATCATCCTTCTCTTCATTCAATCTCAAGTTAGACTCAATGGGTGTACTTGCTGCCTTGCATCCAAGATTGCCTGTTTCTTTAAGCAAGTCTAAGACATACTTTTGTTGGGAAGCAAAGATGCCTTTACTTGAGTATGCCACCTCAATGCCTAAAAAATACTTCAGCCTCCCTAGTTCTTTAATTTCAAACTCCTTTGCTAAGCACTTTTTGAGTGTTTCTCTTTCAATTGGATCATCCCCGGTAATGATGATGTCATCTACATGTACAAGTAGAGCTGTAACACCTCCTTTTGAATATTTTATGAACAAAGTATGATCTCCTTGACTTTGTTTGTATTGCATTGCTAGCATCACTTTAGTAAATCTTCCGAACCAAGCCCTTGGCGATTGTTTTAACCCATATAATGCTTTCTTTAACCTGCACACTTTCTTTTTAAAAAACATTTCATTGAAACCCGGTGGGGGTTCCATGTACACCTCTTCTTCTAAATCCCCATGTAAGAATGCATTCTTAACATCAAATTGCTGTAAACACCAACCAAAGTTAGCGGCTAAAGACAAAAGAACACGCACAGTATTCATTTTTGCAACGGGTGCAAAGGTCTCTTGGTAATCTATCCCATATGTCTGTGTATATCCTTTTGCAACCAACCGAGCTTTATGCCTTTCTAATGAACCATCAGCTCTATATTTCAAAGTAAACACCCATTTACACCCCACTGTTTTCTTTCCTTTGGGCAGGTTTACAATTTCCCAAGTCTTATTTCTCTCTAGGGCATTCATTTCCTCTTTCATAGCATGTAACCAGTTCTTATTTCTAAGTGCCTCTTGTAGTGTTTGTGGGATTGAAATGGAGTTGATGGTGGTAAGGAAAGTTTTATGTTGTGGAGAGAGTCTATGGAAAGACACGAAATTTGAGATTGGGTGCTTAGTGCATTCTCGTGTTCCTTTTCGAACAGCAATAGGCAGGTCTAAATCAATAAATTCACAAGGAGCAGAGTCAGATTGAACACACAAAGGAACAGAATTTTCAGTACCTGATTGTGGTTCAGATTCTTGGATTTGCACAGGTTCAGAAATATGAACTTTCTTCCTTGAGTAGACCTTGAGTGGTGTAGTTGGATTTAAACTAGATTTTCCCTCAGCTGCAAGATCAGGTTCAATTTCTTTACTGGCATGTTCAACTTCAAATTCAGGTTCAGGTTCACTGCTAGTATGTTCTCCTTTAGAATTTGGTGTATGGTCAGGCTTGAAAGACTTTAAGTTTAGTGTAGGACTTTGAAGATCAAGGAGAAATTCCTTATCTTCCCAAGAACTCTCCCCCTGGGGATGAGGATTGTTACTTTGAGAGTAAGGTTCATTTTCAACAAATGTGACATCCATGGAGGTAAAAAATTTTTTTGAAGGAGGATGATAACACTTATATCCTTTCTTTGTGTTTGAGTATCCCACAAAAATACATTTTAAAGCTCTTGGATCAAGTTTCCCTCTTTGGTGTGCATGAACATGTACAAAAGCAATACAACCAAACACTTTTGGTGACAATGTGCAAGAGACATTAAAATCAGGGTAAAAAACAGAAAGAGCAGCAATGGGACTTTGATTATTTAGTACTTTTGAAGGTACTCTATTTATCAAATGTGCAGCAGTTAAAACAGCCTCCCCCCAAAAAGTTTTTGGAACTTTATGTTGAAACAAAATTGCTCGAGTCACATTGAGTAAATGTCTATTTTTTCGTTCAGCAATCCCATTTTGTTGGGGTGTATCTACACAAGATGACTCATGTATTATACCCTCTTTTTGGAAAAAAGATGAGAGAATTTGATTAAAATAGTCTCTTGCATTATCAGATCTTACTCTTTTAATCAGACTTCCAAATTGTGTACAAATCATTTTATGAAACATTGGAAAAATACTGCTTACTTCTGATTTTTCTTTCATAAGAAATAACCAAGTAGTTCTAGTACAATCATCAATGAATGTGACAAACCATTTTGCTCCAGAAATACTAGAAATTCTACAAGGCCCCCAAATATCAGTATGTATCAAAGAGAAAGGTCTCGTAGATCTTGTATTACTCAATGGAAATGATAGTCTATGATGTTTAGCAATTTCACATGTATCACAATGAAAATTACTAACATCTTCATTCTTGAAAAGTGAAGGAAACATGCTTTTAAGTAGAATAAAAGATGGATGACCAAGACGGAAATGATGAAGCCAAATTTCAGATTTATTATTTGAGGAGCAGGTGAGGGATAACTGATTTTTGTTCTTCTTGTTGCCACTCATCTCCTCAAGGTAATAAAGCCCATCATTCACCTTAGCAAGTCCAATCGTCCTCCCCGTAACCAAATCCTGAAAAACACAGTGAGTAGTATAGAAAATTACTCTACAGTTCAGATCTTTGGTAATTTGATGGATGGATATGAGATTGGAGGACAATTTTGGGACATGCAACACATTATTTAGGGACAAAGAATTTGATAGATTTACTGTCCCTTGGCCTGCAACAGTTATAGGAGATCCATCCGCAACAGTAATTTTTCTATTTCCAGGACATGGGTTGTATGTTCTAAATCTGATTGGGCTATGAGTCATATGATCAGTAGCTCCTGAGTCGATGACCCAAGAGCCTAGAGAAGACATGCTTGAGGCACTTAAAGCATAAGAGTTAAGGTACTTACCTGATTGAGCCAATGAACACGTACTAGAGGACTTTTCAAGGGAATTTAGGAGGTTTCTTAGCTTTTCGATTTCTTCTTTCTTGAATTCTCCCATACCAGCCTGGTTGGATTTTTCTTGTGTTTGGTCTTCTCCAGCAGTTAAGTGGGCTTTTCGCCCTTTGAATCCTCCTTTACGACTAAGGACTTGTTCCTTCCCATGGAGTTTGAAGCAATCATCTCGCGTATGGCTTGATTTCTTGCAGTACGTGCACCAAATTGTGTCTTTATTTGACTTTGTAGAAATCATTGCAGAGCCTTCTAATGTTTTAGGCTCTAACATGACTTCTCGCCTGTTCTCTTCAGCTCGAATCAATGATATTGTCTCATTCAGAGATGATAATCTTTCCTTCCCCAATATCTGGATTCTGACCTGATCAAATTCCACATTCAAACCTGCAAGGAAGTCATAAACTCTATCCTTTTCGATAAAGCTTCTCAAGGTGGTTGCATCTTCACTACACACCATCTGAACACACCGATATTGGTCCAGTTCCTGCCATAGATTTTGCAGAAGGTTGGCATATTGAGTAACAGAAAGGTTGCCCTGTTTAGTGGCTGAGATCTTTGTTTTGATCTCATAGATTAGGGCAGCATCTCCTGCCTTTGAATAGGTCTGTCGAATAGTAGTCCATATATCTTGAGCTGTTGGTAGGAACATGCAAGTATCGCTTATTTCAGGTAACATGGAATTCCACAGCCATGACATGACCATAGAATCCTCTTCATCCCAAGCAGCGAATTTAGGATCTTCCTTTTTCGGTCCAGTTCCAAGCAAGTGGCTGATTCTGCCCTTTCCTTTGAGAAATGTTTGAACAAATTGTGACCACTTCAAATAGTTTTTCCCGTTGAGCCTGCAGGCTGCCTGGATACTCTGCAAATCCCCTGTTTGTGGAATATTTGAGGTCTCCTCTGATTTGGTATTGGAGTGGATTTCTGATGTTTCAGTTTCAGACATGGTGGAGGTTTCAAAGAAAAATTGGCAATGAAGGCCTAATGGAAAAAATCAGCAATGAAGGCTGGAAATTGCACTTGGCAATAAGACTTGAAAAAAAGGAAAGTTCTCAGCAATGAAGGCTGACAAGAAGAGGTCCCAAGAGCAAAAGCTCTGATACCATGAACAAAAAGAAGAACTGAATTGTTCTGTCATATCATTTGTTCTAGACTCTGTACAACATTTATACAAATGGAATTTGACTTTTGTCAATTCCATGAAATCTGTAATTTCCTAAAAATTAGGAGCTAATTTATTCTATCCTAAAATACATTAGGAGTAAATTATTCTATCCTAAAATAGAGCAGAAATCATGGGACATAGCAGAAATCATGGGATATACATAGAAAAAGATATTCTAGATCTCAACAGTTTACATGTTCCTGGTGTACTTTTTGTGACAATGTGAGAAAACGGTTACTTGACCAACACCCTTAAGTTCATTTTTCTTTTACGCTTGCAATAAGTATTTTTTTGGTTGTACTTTCCTTTGAGAGTCATGGATATGTTCAAAGAAGTAAGATGGTATTTTAGCAGTTTCAGTGATCACCTGGTTACTTCACATGCGAAGTTGTCCTGCTTGGTGCCTATCCTTCTTGTTCTTTTGCAAATCCACTTTCCTTTCTGTGGGGTTATGAAGTAAATACTCTGACTGCATTTTTTGGAATGGATACTTCATGTTAGGTTCAGTTTTTACTAAATGTTTGAAAGTCTAGTTTCATATGACATGATGATTCATATACATTTCAAAAGTGCTACTTGAGATGCACTAGACATTGTCTTCAGGTAAGAAATAATTTCTGTTTTCTTTTGTCCTTGTCTTTCTGCCCGTAAAATATGTATAAATGAGGCAGATAAATGTCAGTGCTTAATGATTTGTCAGATCTTTTGAAAATTGCTCTTGTTTCTACTTATTTATGGCATATGTGACAGGCAAGATAGTGGCTAGTAAAAGAGAGGAACTTGTTGAGCTTGTGGAGCATTTCAATGTGAGTATTTTGAAGAACGTACTCTTCTAGGTTATTTTGATTGTTGTTATGCAAGTGTAAGTTGCTTGATATTGTTAAAGAAACAGAAATAAAATCTCTCATCTTCTTTGTCTCTTCCTTTTATTTTTTTCCCTCTCCTTCTAACATTATTACATTTATCTCATTATTTTGGTTCTGCTTTACATCTTTGATGAAGTGAAAGCTGTAGTCTGACAAACTTAAATTTTGCAGTCCTGGAATGTCAGGTTCTTGTACCAGTTCTGTCAAACTGGAAATTTGATATTTACTTTCATTTGCAGATTGATGTTGAGAATCCATGTGTTATAATGAGTCAAGACAAAAGTAGAGAATTTTTACATTCCGGAAATAACAAAGATAAGTTTAAGGTATGAAGTTTCAAGTTTTTAAACATTTCATCTTTTTCCTGTTACTTAAAAATTCAGCAATTCTTTTGCTGTGAATTACATCTAGAGGCTAAGATGCAATCAAGCAAGGTCTGTACAAATTGCACTGCTTGTCAAATGCCTTTACAACTGATCACCAAAGTGTTTCATTGCTTTTTTTTTTTACTATCGATTACTGGTTGGATATTGATGCACATAAATTTTTTCGTAGTTTTTTTACAAGGCAACACTTCTTCAGCGACTGGGTGATTTGTTAAATAATGTTGAAAACCAGTTGAACAATGCTACTGTGTATGTTGTTGAAATGGAAAAGTCATTAAGCCCATTACAGAGGGAGCTTGATGAGTTGGAGACCAAGATTAAAAGCATGGAAGAAGTGGAAGAAATTTCCAAAGAGGTGCAGCTTTTGAAGAAGAAACTGGCTTGGTCATGGGTATATGATGTTGACAGACAACTAAAAGAGAAAGCTATATTAATTGAAAAGCTGAAAGATAGAGTACCCATTTGTCAAGCAAAGATAGATCATCAGAAGGTAGGTAAACTCAATAATGCGTCTTCTTGGTGAGATGGATGGTGTGCTTTGATCTGCTTGGTATTGTATTCATCACTATTTGGTTTTTGATGTTTGTTAGCTATGACTCCCTGAAGATTTTTTACTCAAGAAACAAGGAGAAAAAAGCATTAATGTTAGGGTTGGGATAATTTTTCTTAAGTCAACATTCTCAATGTTTTGTGCTGTCAATTGGTGTTTTTGTTTGTAAATGGGTAAAATTGAGAAAATTGGAGAGGATAATTAATTGTAGTTTTAGAGTTACAAAACTTTTGGATGTAACATGGCTGAATGATGATTGCGACCTATTCTACTTGCTGTTGTGAGATTTCTGGCAGAAGTATTTGCGGAAGTTAATTGGCGATTGACAGGTGTGCATTGAGATGATAGATCTCACTCTCTAAATTTGAGCTTCAGTTTCAAATGTTTACTTCCAAATATCTAATGTGGAACTGTTCATTTGGTAACAATGAAAACCTTACAAGCGAACTTTATGGAACTTAAGTCCTTTGGGCTGTTGACATCATCCCATCTGACACCTTCACGCTAGCTATGAATGTAGCATTTCCAATTTTTCTCCAGTTCATTCATAGCGTTTGACAAGCAGTGCAATTTCCGGGCAGCCCATTATTCTGCAGTATTTCCTCTATTTCTCATGTACCATCCAGCTCCTTTGGATTTAATTTAACGCTCACTGATAACCTAACTAAGTTGTTGGAACGATTTTAGTCTTGCTTGAAGAAGTAGCTGCCAAGGTTCTGTAGCTCTTATTCTCCTTCAGCAAATTAAGTTTAAGATGAAGAGCCTACCTTAAATACTTATCACACAGTTTTCATAATTCTCCTTCTTTAACATCCATTTATGCAAAATTTAACATGTCATAGCTTAAGGGAATCTTATTTTTCTTTTCTCTCTCTACACATCTACCTTAATGTTTCTCAAGCTTCCAAAATTAGAACAACAAAAAAAGAGGAAAGGACTTCTGTGGTGCCTAGCTGCTTGGAATGGTTTTTTCCTGTATAGCTTTCATCCTACCTATTAGAGTATTGTTGGAATGGCCTTTTCTTTAGTCCCTTTAGATTTCAAAACGTGCCTTTTTTATGTGTGGATAAATCTCAATCTCCATTTTTTAATTTCGTTTTGTTCTGTTGACAATTTAGTTGATTGATAACTCTGCTGTTTTATTTTTCTACAGCACAAGATGGATATGTTGAATGATCAGATAATTGAGAAGAGAGCTCAGATTGGGCATATTATGGAAAGGACATCAGAAGTACGTAGAATGAAGGATGATTTGCAGCACTCTATTCACCTGGTACTGAATTTCTTGTGTCCTCACTTTGTAATTTTTATGAAGGCTACTAAGTGAGTTCATTGACTGCACAAGTAACAACTTATAGCCTGCGCCCATTGTTTCATTGGACATAAGTTGCTATGCTACTTTTAAGATTGCATAAGCAAAAAGTCGCCAGGATATCCATGCAAAGCTTTGTTTAGACCCAAAGTTTCTTTTATAGGAATCCTTTTTCATTGTTTTTCTCTTTCTCAATTATGTCCAAAACTCTTTTCTGAAGAATTGTTCTTTCATGAATGTGGAATGGTTATGGATTCATTGCTAAAGTTGGCTTTATCTGAATTTTGGTGACTACTTGCCATTGCTATTTAGGCCATGAAAGAGAAGCTTGAGCTGGACGGCAATTGTAAACGCAAAACCAGCCACATTGAGAAATTGGTTGAACAGGTCAAGTTGCTTGAGCGACAAATTCATGAAATGCAGGAGCAGCATATAAAAGATACTCAGGTTTTGGTTTATTCTGTTTATTGTCTAATGATATGTGGGATTCCCTTTTCTTTTTTTTTTTTTTGGTCATCATACAGAAATAAGAGTTTATTGGATGGTAGAGTAGTGAGGCTTGATAAAAGACTTTTGGAATCCAAAGCATCAAGACAAGCCAGGACCTAAATGACATGTCATATGTCTGTACTAAGATGTGCTAGCAATCTACTCAATGTCTTGTATCTCTCCTTTGATGCGATAGCTATCCACTCAGCACCTTGTTTGTTGTTGTCAATGTTAGTCCTAAATGCATGTCAGCTACAGGTGGTGTTTCATACATTGCATGGGATATCAGCCAGTGAAGGAATAAATAATAACCTTTTTAAGTTTTTATTGCTTTAACTCGGTATAATAATGTGATATAAGAGCTATCTTTTGTGTTTTACAATAACTCAAAGTTAAAGTACTTGATGGCAATGTGGAGTATATATGGTTCAAGAGTGGTTTTCTTGTCTTCATTGAACTTGGTATCTGCTGAAGATGTGATGAATATTTTAGTGAACAAACTTTGATGTTCAAAATTCTGTAACTGGCTTAGCTGGTTAGATATTTATTTGCTCTCCTTTGAAACAGAGGGTGTAATAATTGGCAAATGCAATATCTTTTCTGTGATCCTCTTATGCACGCATTCCCAATCTGTTTATACAACAAAATCAGGTTAAGTTACAAGGAACTCCGTTATCTAAGGTGGATTTTATCATATTAGTAAAAAATTGGATAGCAAGATTATTTGTAAGAATGACAATATCAGTAAAAGTAACTTTATGCTTTTTTTTTTTTGGTTGCTTTGCTCTAGGCTGAAGAGTTTGAAATGAAGCAAAGATTGAAGGAGATTCAAGGTGAAATTAGTGAGTTGAAGTTGAAGCTGCAAAGGTTATCTTACATTTTTATCGCATTAGGTTGTTATTACATGCTTGTGAACTTCTGTCTGTGGATGCATAGTTTAACAGTTTAGATATTTTCTTTTTGATGTTACTGAAGTGGTACTATTTCAGTTTGAAGGATGATGAGGAGTCCTTATCAGTCACTGTAACCAAGCTGAAGGATGAGATAAAAAATATCGCTTCTCAGGTTTGGATTTGTTAACCACCTAAGTGGTTGAATTCCTTAACAGCTGTAAGACCTCTTCTGCAGCACTGAATCATGTTGAATAAGGGAACTTTTTTTAGTGTTACCTATTTGTCTGGTCTTGCATAAAACTGAACACCTTGAATGTTGCCTGTTACTTCTTCCTTAACAACCTGTTGGGAACTTCATATTTGTTTGCAGACAATTGATACCATGGTTGTCATGGAATAGTCATGTGACATATCTTTCTTGAAAGCAGACTAAATCATGATTTTAGTTGCTACTGTGTGAAAATAATTGATTGCCAATTTTTGCATCTTTTTTACTTTGATAATATGTAAAATATTCCATCAAAATCTTGTGCTGACAATCACTAATGATGATTGTAACAGTTGAGCTGACTGAGTATTGTCCTTTATCTGGGTGTTTGCTTCTGTAGTTAGATGTATTGGATGAGTTGTCTCATTACTTTATTGTCCATTTTTAGATTGAAGATCATGCAAAGAAGCATCACGGTATATGTTCTCAAATTCGTGGCCTCCAAGAGAATCAAAAGAATAAGGTAAAGATAACATATTTTTTCGTTGCTACTCCCTGTCTAGTGTGTCAACCTAATTGCAACTTCTTTATTGGTGCTATTTATGTTGGACTAAAAGGGTTGAACAGCCAATTGGTCTCAAAGCATCTGCTGCTGGGCATCCACTGTAATGTCATGCTTTATTTTCCTTGCAGGTTTCAGCTTTTGGAGGAGAGAGGGTGATCGCTCTTTTGCAAGTGATTGAGAGGCATCGCCATAAATTCCGAAAGCCACCCATTGGTCCGATAGGTTCCCATGTGGTAAAGTATTACGAAATGATATATATATATATATATATATATGTATATGTATCAGATGATTCTGCTGTTGCTCGTTTCTTACTTATTTTCCTTTGATTGTTGCTGCTGCTGTTCTGATTGCTGAGTTTTTATTTTGTGTTTTATTGTTGAAAATTCCCCACCCACGACTTCTGTTTTTTAGCTTTTTCATTTTTTTATTTATTATGCATGGCAACATTAACTATTTTATTTTGTTATTTTCTTTTTACAAGTGCCATTTCTACGCTGCTCTCTTGTGATATTTTATTTCGCTTCCTCTCCAGTTATTTGATCAATGCTTCTGATCACTCATTTTAATATTTTCGCCTCAGAAAGTTGGAAAAATAAGCATACATCCTTCCCCATGTACTCTTCGTTTTAAGATAGTAACCAATTGTCTTTGGCTTTTTTTATTTGTTCCTTCCACTTTGTTGATATACAATTATGACATGTTCATTTATGATTTGATAGCCTTGGTATATGAATCTAGAAGCATTAGCGTGTTTATTCACTTTTATATATGGTTAAAAACTTTAGATATTATTTCTTTCTTATTTCATCTAGTAATGTGGCTTGCAGACCTTGGATAATGGTAACATGTGGGGCATTGCTATTGAGAATGCTGTTGGAGGGTTGCTTAATGCTTTCATTGTAACAGATCACAAAGATTCTCTTCAGTTGAGAGCATGCGCTAAGCAAGCAAACTACAACCATCTTAGGATCATCATATATGACTTTTCAAGACCAAGGTTATGAACAGATTGGATGCATTACTTTAAAATCCAGATATTGCATTTACCTCCATCAAGTGACTTATTAGAGGAATACTCTCTTTTTGTGCAGGTTGAATATCCCAAGTCACATGCTTCCACAAACCAAACATCCAACTGCAATTTCTGTTTTACATTCTGACAACGCTGTTGTGGTCAATGTATTGATTGATCTGGTAATTTTCTGATCATAATTTCTTGTAATTCCATATCTCAATAAGCTTGTCATTCTGCCTTCTTGTACTGCCTGGTATATTGACCTGGCGTTCCATACTAAAGCATGCCATTTTTCCTTGTGCTTTTAGTTATCTTGTCATGTTTTCATTGAGGACATTTGGTCATGTGCTTGTTCCTTAATGAAGATTGTGTATTTCAAGTTCTGTAATCTCAGCAACTGGGTTTTAGATTAATTATGACCTTGTTGTGACCCTTTGAAAAATGCTAAAAGTTATTTGGTGTTTTTAACATCTTGTAAGGATATTAATTATGACCTTGTTTTTAACATCTAGCAGGGCAATGCTGAGAGGCAAGTGCTTGTTAAGGACTACAATGATGGAAAAGCAGTTGCTTTTGATCAAAGGGTTCCAAACTTGAAGGAGGTGTACACGTCTGATGGATTCAAAATGTGAGATAAAATTAAAAATGACCTTCCATTTAGCAACATTTGTGCGTTACACTATTGTGTCTTCTGTTCCTAAGTGTGTTATTGTTCCCCTGTAGAATAGTATCTATCACTTTTATGGAAGATTATCATCATAAAGAGTAATTACGAGTAATACCTGCTTGCAGCTTCAGTTTCTTTGAATGGGATGCATACAAGAAAATTGCTTTTCGAAGCATTTGCTTATCTGTTAATTAAACATCCTTGCAAGTGCCAATAAGCTAGGTCTCCTGGATATTTAAAGCTATACCTACTGTATTAAGTGCTTAATCTTGCATGCGGGTTTTTCTTTGATTTCGATTTTCCATTAAAATCCTTTTCTACCATGTACATTGATGTTGGCAGTTATTTTAAATGATACAGCAATACTAGATTCTGTTGCTTACCCCAATCCTCATTTCCTCTTTATGGTGGCTCTGTATGTAAATGAGTTTGTCTGTAGCTTGTGAAGGACAGCGTTTTGAAAATTGGACTGTACCAGCCATGAAACAGCCGTGGCACTGGTCTTCTAGGATTAAACGTCGGAAATTGTCTTTTCTTCAAAGGCTGAGATTGAATTTGTGGTTTGACTAAATGTCTAGGGAGAATATTGGAGGTTCATCTTGCTATTAACAGAGTCACAGCTGGTTTTTTTCATTAATATGCTCCTTTTATTTATTGTTCATGTCAATGTTTTGAATGGGTAACTTCAAAACTACCATTAGAACTAACAAGCAGGCACTCCAGATTTAAGATGCACAAGTAATTACTTATTCACTACAATTTTCTTTTGAACCTCACAAGTTTTAACAGTTTAGTCATATCTCCTACTTTTAAAATGGCCCACGTATATCTGTGTACTGAAAATTAGTCACTCTATTAGTGGTGAGGATCATGTTGAAGCAATAATATGTGACCAAACAGGAATTAGGTTTCATGGAGAACCAAAGAGGAATGTCTTTGCCAATTTGCAGCATCGACAAAACCTTTTTCTAATTTTAGTTTATTGCAAATTAGACCACTAAAAGCTTATTCTGTGTGGTATGAAACTTCTTTGGATTGAGCCCTGCTTCGATTGCTATTATCTAATGATCTCAGGACATATATGCAAATATGTATGAGGTATATCTGACAAAGCGGGTTTTCTGTGAATGATATTTTTGTTCGTAATTATTGTTTGTATCTAAATACATATCTTGTATTCTTTATTGGGTCTATTTTCTTTATCTAATGCAAGACTATGAATGTTTCTTGAGATTGTATCTGCAGGTTCTCCCGTGGTCCAGCCCAGACAATTCTTCCCCCAAATAGGAAATTGAGAGCTGTCCGCCTTTGTGGTTCATATGAAAATCAAATAAAGGAGCTTGAACGAGATGCCTTATATAACGAACAAGAGGCTAAAGAAGGACGTGCTATGAAAAGAAATAGGGAGGAAGAACTTCACTCTCTTCAAGGCAACTTGGGAAGTGCAAAGGTGATAGTTTTCTTGTTTATGTTTAACTTGGTTATCATTTTAAATGATTCAGCTCTTTGCACATGTTTTGCTTTTCTTCTGGCTGACCTGTCGCATTTCTTGCCCTCTTCACTTGTTTACAGGTCCTGAACTGAGTATTATTTTAACACTGCTGGTTTTTTCTAAGCAAACTGATTTTCTTAAAATTGCTGATCATGCATGCATCATTTGAGGTGTTTGATAGATTATGAGATGTATCTTTTGTAGTTTTTACTTGCAATTGGCACATTTTAAGCATATGTCTTTAGAACTTGTGGGACAGGTCACAATTAGGTTACCAACTAGTCTGCCTGGTTAACGAAGGGTTTAATAACAAATGCTCAATCATCATCATCATAACTGTTTGTATTATCAATGCTGGATCAGACTTATGAATGGTCCCTCTGATTCTGTAGAATCGATGAATAGAAGTACTTGTATGGATAACTGTTTGTCAATTTCTGATCTGGAAATACTGTTGACGAACAAATATTGGGAGTACAAGTGGTGCTGCATAAACTTTATTATTCTAGTCTCTTTTTTACTCTAATGTGGCTTTTGTTCTAGTTGAAACACACTTTGAAAGGCAGCCTCTGTGGCAAAGCCAGGTTAGTGCCGCGCCATTAGAGAATTAATGGCCAGGTGCATTCATAATTGTCTTTGGTTGTTCCTCTCTGAAACTCTTTATGGAACTTGGAGCATCTTATCTGAGACCTCAGAGATTTCCTTGTTCACTTTCAAGGGTCTTTTTCATGGTTCTTACATGACATCAAATAGAAGTGGTTGAATGTAGTCTTCTGTGGGTATCATTTCTAATGGATATAATTATTTACTCTTATTTTTTGTTTTTCAATGTTTATCAGAGGAAATGTGATCAAGTGGAGCGATATTTGAGGTCTAAGGAACTCAAACTGCAAGATTTGATGAAATCATATGCAGCAGATGCTTGTCCTGCCAGTACATGTACCGCTGATGAGCTTCATCATGAGATTTCTGTCTGTGCTATAGCCATTTGACCATTATGTCTTTTCTTGCTTTTTGAAAATTTATATGTAGAGTCAAGAGTTGTCCTTCATTCTTCTAAAATATCTCTATGTTGGATGCACTTTCCCTCTACCCAATATGCAGAAGGTTCAAGAGGACATACAAGAACAGGGCGTTATGCTTCAAAAGGTTCAGTTGAGATTGAAAGAATCAGAAGATAAAGCTTCCAGTCTAAGGGCCTCATTTGAAAAATTATGTGGTATAACGAATTTTGTGTATGGGTCTAGCACTTCTTTCAGGACTTCAGGACTATATAGGACTATATATATATATTGCATGCTTTGACATTGTAATTTGAACGCAGAATCGGCAAAAGTGGATATTGATGCATTGGAAAAAGCAGAGGATGAGCTACTGAAGATTGAAAAAGATAGGAATGAAGCAGAAGCGGTATATCCTCTGTTTCTATGTACTTTGAGTTTGCCATAGTAGCAGTAGTCTGAGATCCTCTATGTCCAACTCATATTCAGAAGAAGAAACACTTTGAGGAAGTGATGACTGCAAAAGTTATTGTTGAACTAGAAGCAGCAAAAGCACATTGCTCTGAATTTGAGCACAACCGTAAGGTAACCCTCCTCTGAAAGTTTAAATTCGTATCTTGGTTATATTGATGCCGAGATCTTGAGTTAATCCTGAATTATGTTCGTGAAAACTGGGAATAAAGGTACAAGTTTGTTATTTTCATGGTTTGAGGTATCTCTCTGACTTCAGGTTACTCCAAATCGACCCACTAAAATTTTGCCATCCCCCAAATGGCAGAGAACTCAGCTGACCTTTGAGAATATTGGCCATCTTTTGAAGCCTTCCCTGCTTGAGCAGAGAACTGCTGAAATTAGACTCTTATTTGGATGAGATTTAGAACTAAAATTCTTCTTTATGTACATGATACATGTCTGGATATGTGTTGCTATGTTTGTGTGCTTCAAACTTTCTTTCTCTCTCTCTGAATAAGCTGCGATACTTAAATTATCTTGAGAGTTCTTCTCTTCTTCCACTGTCCTCTTTGCTGCTCCTAGTTTTCTTCTCAGCATCTTGCTCTAAACATCAAAGCTACAGTTATGGCCGTGTATCTCATCAGCTTGTTTGCCAGTGCCTACTGTAGCCTATTTGCAAAGATGCTACACAGCATATTGAAGTCAAAGGTTCAACGTATTCCGGAATTGATATGTAATTTTTTATTAGCATAGTCCTCCTTGTTTAGGTCATGTTGCTTTTTCTCTCGGTCTGGAGTGGCTGTGCTCCTTTATAACCTGTCCCTGCTTGTATTGCTGTGGACTATATGCTTGTGTGCGTTATAATTTTGGTTTATTTTCTCGTTCTTCATCTTCATTGCTTTCCTCCAGCAAAATTTGAGGAAATTCAGCTTCCTTCTTGTTTTTTTTGGGAGGAGGGTGAGGGTGTGGAATGAATCCATTACATGCGGCAAAATTCGAATTCCTATTCTGAACTTCAGGGAAATATTGCAGGAGAGTTGCAAAAAGGCTTCAATTATATGTCCAGAAAGCGAGATTGAAGCATTAGGTGGCTGCCGTGATATGAACCCTGAGGAGCTAAGTGCTCAATTAAATAGGCTAAATCAAAGACTCCAGCGTGAGAGCCAGAGGTAAGTCTTTTGACATATTTCAGATGAAATAAGCTGACATATAAGTTTTTTGAGAAGTTGCCCACATGCAGATTTCAGGAGTCCATTGAAGACCTTAGAATGTTGTACGAAAGAAAACATCGTAGAATCCGGAGGAAGGAGCAAATTTTTAAAACACTTCAAGATAAACTGAAAGTGAGATAACTGTGAAAGTTCTTTTCTCTTAAATTTACTCATGAATTTCAATGCAAACAGATATGCAGTCACGTCCAATGTTCTGCATATTTCTTTGTTTTTTTGCTAGTTGATAACTAAGTTTTGGGTTTCAACTTTATTGCTTCCTGCTAGATTAGCATTCTTCCTGATATGGAAGACTAAACATTGTTGACTTACTAAATTTGGTGGGAAGTTGAATCATGAATGGTTTTTGATGTCATTTCCAAGGTTCATAGCCTTATTTTATTTTCTTTGGTGCTTGAATCCATTGTAAGTATTAGTATATAAGACTTAATACCCACTACTTTCCTAATTTAAAATTTTGATAATCGCTTATATTGTTAATGTGTTTGTCCTTTTACAAATGGTAATAATTTTCTTTTTACTTGTGGGGCCATGGTCATGTAGATTTTGATTTGCTGTTCCTTTCACATTGATTTGATTTTTCTCGGGTTTTTCGGATTTGATTTGGTTTTGTTGTTTCTTCCAGTTTTGGACCTTCCTGGTATCGAAGACTAAACTTTGTTGATTTACTAAATTTGGGTGGAGGTTGAATCCTTGTGGCTTTTGATGTCATTTCCTTGGTTCCCCATATATGCATTTATTTTATTTTCTCCGGTACTTGAATCCATTGTATATATTTATGTAGAAGACTTAATGCCCATTACTATACTGATTTTAAATTCTGATAATGGTTTATATGGTTAGTGTCTGTGCCCATTTGCAATTGTTTACAATTTTCTCTTTGTTTGGGGCCATGGTCATGTAGATGTTTTGCTGTCCATTTCAATTTGATTTGGCTTTTTTTGGGGTTTGAACATTTGTTCAGAAAGTTAGTGTGCTTCTTATCCTTCTATGTAGTTATTTAGTAACTCTGTGGTTTTCTGGTTCCATTGATGTTTGATTTCTGGAATCCTGCCTTGTTCCAGACATGCAGAAGGGCCCTAGAGATGCGGCAAAGCAAGTTCCAGAGGAATGCCACTCTTGCAAAGCGCGAGCTGACATGGAAGTATGGCTTTTGTTTAATAGTTTTAGAAGTTTCTCTTGCAAGTCGTATCTCTTAGTTTGTCTGTTTCATGCAACTTGATTGATTGATTGTTTTGGCAATAGATTTAATGCACACTTGGGGAAGAAAGGAATTAGTGGCAAGGTTATAGTTAGTTATGAGCAAGAGACCCTCTCTGTGGAGGTAAGCATGTTTACACAAGTTGTTAGGACCTCTCTCTCTCTCTCTCTCTCATCTATTGGTTGAGAGTCCAGTTGAGTTTGGTATGTAAGATATCTTTGCTTGAAATAGCTGCAGGTCTCCAACTTACTATTTTTTCTTCTTGATCTTCAATTTTTCATAATTGTTCCTCAGTGAAGACACCTACCATTTTCTTCTTGATCTTTAATCTTATCCTCAGGTAACAATGCCCCAAGATGCATCAAATAAGAGTGTTTGTGACACTAGAGGCCTCTCAGGTATCTTTCTGACTGATAGATAATTGACTTCTTTGCAAACTAGGGAAATTTATATTTATTTCCCTCTAATTTTTTTCGATGGGTTGTAGTTTGGTGTCACAGTGTATGAGTGGACTCAATCCAGAGTCCATGTCGCTTAAACATGCATGATTGGACTTTGAGCCAAGACTTCAGCCTAGATTGAATGTAGGCATGGTCTAGACCATTTTAGGGACTTGAATTTTTTCAAGGTTCTCTTGGCAAGGATTGCTTCTCTGCTGTTTACATGTATAATGTTGTTGTTGTTAGTCTTAATAGCAAAATAAGGGTACTTGTCACAGAACATTCGGCTAAGCAATTAAATGGGACACTTTGCTCAGTTACATGGCAGGAGATCTTTTGGCTAGCATATCAATAGTCTATAGTAATTTAGAGTAAGATAGCATGAGAGTACTTAGCAAACCAATTTTGTTGCAAGAACTGCTCTTGCCTTGAGCTGAAGAGCTAAAATTATCAAAGTAAAGCTAGTAAAATTGAGTGTAGCCCCCAACAAGGAAGGGAAGCTGTAGGAAACATTTCCAACAGGTTCAATAGTGCCTGAAATAAATTTCTATTTGCATCATTGTACTAGGCTCAATAATTTGTTTAAAAACTTGTGTCCAAATAATATCTGAAAAAGAGGCAGTTCTCCGATCCTCAGCCATGAAACATATAAACTCTTGCAACAAGATTTTATAACAATGTACAGAGTCAGAGGTCTCTCTATAGCCTCTCTTGTGTTGTAATCATTTAAGGCAAACATATATTCTAAGACCAGTCTTGCAAATTGAGCAATGAGTTGATGCCTAAGCAAGCAGTATCATAAATTTAGTTCTGTTTCCATTTTTTGATATTTCCGTTTAAAGTACCCGTAAAACATGTAAGAATGGGTCACACACTTGAGGATCATAACAAACCTTTTTGTTCTAAAGTAAGGGTCATAAAGTCAAATCTTAGGGTGAAATGTGCTTGATGAATAAGAGTTGGTGCAGTTTGATGTATAGTTGTGTCGACTTAGTGTCATCTTAATAATCCATAATCCAATCCATTTTGAACATCAAATCTTAGGGTGGATTGCCAAATTATTTCAAATAATATTTCGCTTGCATCATAATCACATTTCCCAATTCACCTTTTTATATTCCCAACTACTTTTTATCTCACATACATATTACATCACAAAAAGTGCTACAGTAATTATTCCAAATAATACTCTATCCAAACACTTGTTTTCAGAATATCCCAAATCAAAACCTGTGACAAAAATAGTGGGCAGGAGCTAGGTATCAATTGTCATTTGCATACAGACCTCATTGCGAATTTTTTTTCCCTTGTGTTAATCTTTGTACTTAGCACGTTAGTCATTTCAAAGATTTGTTTTTTCCTTTCCATTTTCTTTGTCAATATGTTCAGTTTCTTTTCTGTTAAATTAGGTGGAGAACGGTCTTTTTCGACATTATGCTTTGCCCTTGCTCTACATGAGATGACAGAAGCTCCTTTTCGAGCAATGGATGAATTTGATATATTTATGGTGAGTTTTTTTTTTAAAACATTTTTACACCATATTTTGGTGTAATTCTTTTGTGTCAATTTGCTGTTGCTACTGTATTGAACTTAGCTTAAAACTGTCAGTAGATTAAAGTAAAACATTACATGGAGTTGTCAAAGTTACTTGAATGGTGATGTTGACTGATTTTATCAATCATTACCCCAGATGCAAATTCATGTTTTATCAGCCTCTTATTATTGAACTCTTATTGGTAGACAATAGAAGGCTTAAGACTACCACCAAGCACTGCGATTCAGTTCTATATATCCATATAATATGTGAGCCTGGACTGCAGTGTTTTGCTAGAAGGGGATCTGGAAAAAAGCATGGTACAGAACTATAGTCTGCAAACATGGAGTGAAAATTTAGACCAGGATATTCATCTCCTAACTTGATAACCACCACAGGCTCTCTCATCGATAAGTTAATATACTAGACTGGTTTTCTGCTCACATAAATGTTAAGTATCAATGTGAATTTTGTAGCCTAGTTGAAGTTATTAGTTGGATTAGGAAATTGTTTGCTATATTGTGTCAATTCCAAATTGAATTTCTTGTTCTTGGATTACACCAAAAAATGACTTGCTTTAAATAGATGATTGTTACGGTTAAATATCATTGCTTTTTATATACCAAGAAAGATAGCAGTTGGACATCTTTTTTCTCCTTAGATTTAATTAACAATGGATGGCATCTTCTTTTGTAAATCCTAGCTTTTTTAATCCCTTCTGTGCTAAACTATTTCGTACTATCAACCGCTTATTTTAATACTTTAATAAATTATGAAATAATTTTGGATTGGATTATGGATTATTTACAAAAAGAAATAGAAAGGTAGACCCCAAAGATATGTAAACGTAGGTTTCCCACTTTGTCTATTAATACAATTTACCTGAATTTTGAGATCTTCTTCATCATCTGTGATCTTAGCTAGAAATTAGTTTCATACAGCAAGTTTTATGTATGCCAACATTCAAATTTGCAAGACAAGTGACTTTGGGTGATTTTGCATTCTCTAGTGGCATGATTAATCAAATACAAGGATATGTGAATATCACTTATTACTCGAGTTTGTTGAGACTGGTGTCTGATGAATTATTAATATCTTCAATTGGGTTTCAGCTTTCTTCATCTTCTATTGTTATTGAAGGAAATTGAGTGGTTGGATATGGAATTTCGGCATGTTTGACAAATGGAATTGAACAGCTAAATCAAATACAAAATTCTTTGTTAAGGGGTGCTGAAGTCATGTAAGTAGTTGCAATTAGGAATTTGACTACTGGCTTCCACAGAATGGAGACAGTTGCATGGTGCATATTTGACTGCTGATGGAGACAGTTGACTTGTTTCTTTCTGGAAATTGGTTTCAAAAATCTTTTCCAGCCCCCTTTGGTGCGCATAACAAAACAGCTAAGCAAATCAACTGCATTTTTGAATCTTCAGTTCTTTCTAGATCATGCCATATTTTTATGGTAGTTTAGTTGATCACCTACATCTTATGTGGCCTCATGAAGCCTGTGTATGTTAGGTATCCTCTTGTGTTTGTTTGCATTTTGTATGTGTTCTTAACAAACATGTGATATGGTATATGTACTCTCCACAGGATGCAGTTAGCAGAAAAATCAGCCTTGATACTCTAGTGGATTTTGCATTGGCACAAGGATCCCAATGGATATTTATCACCCCGCATGATATAAGGTAATTATTGACCATTAAAAATTAGTCTCATGATTGAACATGATTTTTCACCATTGAGTTACACAATTAGGGTGTCCTGGGATTGTGGTCATATTGCATTTTCTTCTAATAACTTTTTGCTAAAAGAAACTGCATTAAAAAAGTATACAAGGAACCTTCAAAGATTTCTACTAAGTGGTGATTTCTCCAAGAACAAAAGAGAGAGAATAATCCTCAGTATTTTCCTTCCCAAAAATCTTCAAAAGCCCTTTCTTTCATTCCAGGTTGTCCACACTAATGCATAACAATGCACAAAATTTATCAGATTCTGATTTTCCCTTGGCTTTCTTCATTTCGCATAATCTTTTCCTGTCATTTTAGTATGACTGAATTTCACCTCTGTGTGTTTACCAAATTCCATAGTAAGCTGTCCCCTTTCTGTGGAGGGATACACATGAAGTGTTCTCTGGTGTCTTTTTGTTATAAAAAGCACTGAATTATGAGAGTTCTTTGCCAACTAGCCAATCCTCTATCATGAGAATTGCATCGCTGGTTACAAATTGAATGGATAAGCACACCATTTTAAGCGCAGCTTAATGGATTTTAATGAGAAGTCTACTGTTTTCATATCTTAGATTTTTTTAAATTCCCTGAATAGGAATACTGCTGTGGTATGGAATGTGAATTGCTCACTCTAAACTTTTTCCTTAATTGGTTGGTTAATTTCTTTACGTCTACGGAATGTTTCGTTTTCTCCTTATCATGTCATTGAGACCGAAAATTCCTTTGCTTCTTCTCTAAACAGAAGATCCTTTAATTTTGTGAGATAAGAAGCAGGATCGTAGGGAAGACTTTAAGAGTGGTTTTATGGCCCTTAGAAAGCTATTCCTTCTCCATCCTCATAGGACGGTTCTTGCACCCTATAATTTTTAAGTTAGTTGGAAATTTTATGCTGGTGTACGAGAATTTCGGATAGTTTTGTACAAGTTATTTGGTTGTTAACCTCTGAATGTTATCTGCTACTTTCTAAAAAAAAGCCACTAATTAAAATTTAAGTCTTTATGTGAATTGGAGCTAAATTGCCTAAAGTGCAATGAGCTATACTGAAGTTGGATTTGCTAGAATGTTTCCCAAAAAATCAACATTGTGCCTTAATTGATCCTTGTTCGGAAGACTTAAATAGCAGTCTCATCAATATATTTTTTGGACTCCTTAAAGTATCAATCTCTGGATATAGTAGTCAACAGGAGAAGTGGCTTATCTCGAGTCAATGTTTTAATTGATCCTTGTTCGGAAGACTTAAATAGCAGTCTCATCAATATATTTTTTGGACTCCTTAAAGTATCAATCTCTGGATATAGTAGTCAACAGGAGAAGTGGCTTATCTCGAGTCAATGTGTGCTTGAATTCAATAGCTGTTGATGTCGTGTGGCACTCTGGCTCATGTCAAGATGTTCTCGAGGCGTGTATTGATATTTAGGCATTTTTGGTTCTCAAGAAAATTTTCTAGCTATCAGGATTGCATAAAATTTATGTATAAAGTTGCTTAAACAGGCTGTTCTAGACATGCTGTATATAGTTGGCAGAATTCTTATCGTTACTTGTTTTCATTTGATTGGCATTCTTGAATCGAGGGTTGAGTGAAGCATGTACACATACTTCTCAGTTCCATGCCAGTACAGCATATCTAATGTCTGATGTTTTTTTGATTCAGCATGGTGAAACAGGATCAGAGGATTAAGAAGCAACAAATGGCTGCTCCTCGAGCATGATACTTGGTTCATCATGCAGTTGGTGCCCTTTACTACAGCGTTTATATGGTTCATCATTCTTGAATTGAGGGAGACATCGACTTGTCAAACTGAAAAGTTTTCAAGAGATCGACTGTTCAAATTGACTGTAAATTTTTGAAGACTTCTTGTATGCGATGCCAGCATGCTCATGCGCCCTCACTCACTCTCTCTCTTTGTGTATTTATGTACCTTTAAACTTCACTAAGTTTTATTATTCAAGTTGATGATGAATTAGCTGATCCTTAGCTCTCTCTCTCTCTCTCTCTCTCTCTCTCTCTAGGTGTATGTATGTTTAATTTTTTTTTTTTAAAAAAAGACATGATATTTGCACTCCAATATTAGCTTCAGACGCTCCAACCTCGTGATTTTATGAATTAAAGGGCATCTATGCCCTTTGATCTTCTCCTTCCCTCAAGAAAAACAAATCCACTTTTCTCCTGCACCTCAAAACTAGCAATCAATCACCTCTCCTCTCAACTCTCAAGTGCTCTTCCTTATACGATGCACTGACTGCTTCGAATTTCTCCTCTTGAATTATACTTAGCCCCATCAACAGTCCACTTCACAATCATGTTCATTTCCAAAATCTACCCTGTTAGTGCTCTATTTTATGATCTAAAGGCAAGGAGAATGAATTTTGCTAGGATTTATTGGGCTGTTTTGTGGTGGCTCAGGAAAGGTCCGGAGGGAAGCACGGAAGCTTTGCAACAAAAGTTGATTGGTCGAATGGTAACGATGGTAGTGGACTAGTGGCATTTCAAGACTGGGGATCTTTGTAAGAAGTTTTCGAATAACAAAAAGATGAAATTTTTGTTACGGTGGAAAGGGAAGAGAACATGCAAGGCCGTGAACGGCTGGTTGACTTTTTTTGTTTTTGGGTAATAAAAAGATGCATTGAAAGCAAATAAATAAGTTTACAGAGTACGGCTGGTCGACTATAGTCGGGGTCGGAGTAGTTTGTCTAATAGGATTGAAGTCCAACTTGGACGGATGAAGAGCGGGACAATGTGTAGTCCACTCAAATTGTTTCAAAAAGCCATCAAAGTGCTAGAGCATGTGAGTTCATGATGAAATTAGATAGTCTCTAGTTTTGTGTTCTCTTTATTTTTTCCATTCTATTCAAGTAGGAAAGAAAATATGTAAAGTTTGTTTGGGAGTTTAAGAAAGAAAAAGATCCCAGGATAAGTTAACTTGATCTTGTTTGTGAGTTTTTTTGAAACAGTAGCCCAGTTCAGACCAATCTCATTATACGATGTAAGCTACAAAATCATAGTAAATAGACTAAGGGCTATACTAGTGGATCTGATTGAACAGAACCAGTGTAGCTTTTATTCCTAGAAAGCAGGCAGCAGACAATGTGGTTATCACTATGAGGAGTTTAAGAGGGAAAAAAAAGGCACAATGGCTGTGAAAGTTGATCTGCAAGAAGCGTATGACAAAATCAGGTGGAGCTGTTGAGGGAAACATTAGAGTTACCTGGGATGCCTAAACAACTCATTGAGCTCTTCATGCATGCATTGTGTAGAGACTAGCTCACTATAGTTACTATGGAATGGAGACGAAACAGCAGCATTCAAACTTTCAAGTGGACTGATTAAAAGAGCTGTTCAGAACAAAAGTGTGGAAACCAGTAAAAGTTTCAAGCGATGGGCCTGCAGTAGCATACTTATTCTTTGCTGATTATTTGGTTCTCTTCTCCGAAGCAAGCTCAGAATAGGCAAAGGTGCTAAGGGAATTTTATGAAGTATCAGGCCAGAAAGTAAGTGTTCAAAAATCCCAAGCTATACTGCTCACTAAACGTAAGTGGGACAGTGGTGGAAAACACAAGGCAAAAAATAGGAGTGGAATCCATAAACAACCTGGGAAAGTACTGAAATGCCTTTACTTCATGATAGAGTCACTAAGCAAACTTACAGTGAAATAATTGATAAAGTGCATAGAAGAATGACTGGTTGCATCAGGTGAGCTGGGACTCAGTAACATACACCAAAGAGTAAAGAGGGACTGGGAATATGACGACTAGAGGTGGCCAATAGAGCATTCTCTGCAGAGTTAGGATGGCGAATGGTGAAACATAATACAGCACTATGGGCCCAAGTCTTGAGAAGCAAATACAAAAGGAACAAAAGCACCAACATGGGAAATTTAAAAGGGAGAAAATCTCATGTATGGAAGAGCATTATAGAGGGGAGAAAAGTGCTCAAGAGAAGGCTCAAATGGGGAGGAAACCAAATTCTGGACAGAAGTGCTCAAGATAAAGGATGGAAGGAGGTATGAAAGCAAAAGGGCCAAGGAAGATGGCAGTTTCATCTCTGAATTGCTTGAAAACAAAGACTGCTAACTAATGCAGAGAAAAGAAGAAGACACGCACGGGAAGACAGTAAATGTCAAATTTGTGGGAAGAAAACTGAAACAACATTGCATGTGTTGAGACTTGAGAGACTGCGAGTGGATAAACAAAATCTAGTATCGACTAGTTCATCCGGGTAAGTGGGTAGAATTTAAAAGCATGAGTCTGGTAGACTAGATTGATAGCAATCTGAAAGATGGAAGAATGGGAAGAATGGATAATTATGAGTGGCAGTTATTGTTCCAACTGATGACCTACCACGCTTGGACGGCAAGGAACCAATTTTACAGCACAGGGGAAAGCATCCAAATGAAAAAAAAAAAATACAGGCACTCCTCTTGCAACTTGCAAGCATGGTTCGAAGTCTCGGCCGAGACCGAGACGACTCGGCCGAGTCGTCACCGTCTCGGCCCCTACCGATACGATATCGTGACGAAACGATACCGAGATACTTGACTCGCCGAGAAATAGGCCAAGACATCACCGCGACGGATTGACTCGGCCGAGTCACACCGAGTCACTCCGAGTTATCCCGAGTCAAGACGAGAAAATTAGCCGAGTTACACCGTGACGGATTGACTCGGCCATTTTTTTTGCTATTTTTTATTATTTTTATTTAGCATACTTTTTTTTATATTATTAACAATTTTTAGAATATTAAATACTTTAAAATTTGCGTCTCACCGAGACCGCGACCGATATGCCGAGACCGATGTGGAACGTTCCGGACCGCGACCGTAACCGCGACCACGACTTTGAACCATGCTTGCAAGGGGATTACCTGCAGCAAGCAGGTAAAAGGATACACACAGGAAACTGAAAAGAAACCATTCACATTGCATGGAAGAGAGCCCCAGAGGAATGGATAAAGATCAATGTAGATGGGGCATGCAAAAAAAATCCAGGAGTTGCTGAAGCTGGGGGTTTAATTAGAGATCATCATGGAGTTTGGCTAGGTGGGTTTCTTGCCAATCTAGGAACAACTACCAATGTTGGAGCAGAGCTGTGTGCAATACAATTTGGATTGAAACTAGCATGGGACGTGGACTTCAGAAAAGTAATTCTTGAGATAGATTCTAAAATAATGCTAGAACTGTTAGAGAAGATGCCACCTGATTCCCCACACTACAATCAGATGATGCAAATAAGGAGATTCCGGAAGCAGCAGTGGGAATGCAAACTTCAGCACCAATGGAGAGAGGGAAACCATTGTGCTGATCACCTAGCAAATTTGAGTATAAACAACTCGGACCTGGGAGGGAAGTTCCTGGTTAATCCTCCAATCTATTGTGATTTACTCAATAAGGACTTGACTCTTCTCTTATAATATTCGAGTTTGAAACTTGCTACCAACTAAAGTGCCATTGATGCGTGATTTTTAAAAATTATTGTCAGTATTAAATTTCCGAAATTTGTGTGGGAGCTAGAAGAGTAACGTATGAATGCTTTTAAACTCAGTCTCATGAACTAACGCTTTTTAAAAATTTTTTTTTTTCCTTTATTTAGTGAAGGATGTAAAGGATAGATCGTGTAAGGGCAAAAAAGAAATATAGAATACAAATGAAACTTAAAAAGCATCCAGAATATCCTTTTCTTTTAACAAAAGAATACCAATTAATTGATATGAAATATTAATTGGCATTGTTAGTGGTGTACAGCCACTTCTATTCAACTTTTTATTGTGTTCTTGCTCATCGATCTAGGAATCAATTTACCAAAGCAAACCTTCTCACTAAAATCATTTTTCTTGTGTTACTTATGATTATAGTTATCTTAAATGGGATGATGATGATATCAAAGCTGTTTAACATGGTTGATTTTTTTTTTTTTTAAGTTTGGGAGTTTTAACGAAACTTTTCCCTTTTCTTTTTGGTGGAGAAATTAGGGATAATTTTATATGGTGTGTAAAACAATACGAACTTTGAAAGCTTTGTGCTTTGTTAAGAGAATATAAGTATTCTTGTAAATAATAAATTAGTAAGTGTATTCTTGTAAATAGTTTGTTAGGTTTGTACTCCTATAAATACTAGTTGGTCACTCATAATATGGTGACTAGATGTTTTCCTCCCAAAATACCTGTTAACATGGTATCAGAGTAAGAGTTCTAGGGTTCATGTTAAACATCTAACAAAAGTACTGTTCACGTCGCACTGTTCATCGCGGCACTGTTTACGGCGTTACTGTTCACGACGCACTGTTCACGCTATTACTGTTCATGGGCACTGTTCACGCCGTACTGTTCATAGCGCACTGCTCACGCGTACTGTTCACACGTCACTGTCATCTTGAGTTTTGACCCTGTCTTTGGTTTGACGTGCTATTCGTCATGGTTAAAAGGTTTGTTAATGCGGTTACTACTGATCAAATTGAATCGAGTTTTTCAGCACATGGGTCCCAGAAGACTGTTACTATATCTGAGGAAGATTATGTTAAATTCCTACAGTACCAAGCTACAAATCACGTATCTCTTCCCTCTGCTTCTTTAGCACAAAAAGGTAATGACTCATGGATTATTGATTCCGGGGCTACTGATCATATGTCAGGTACTTCTAAAATTTTTTCTAATTTTCAAGAGTCTACTCCCTTTCCTCATGTTATTTTAGCTGATGGATCTACCACTAAAGTTAAAGGACTAGACACTGTAGAAATTGATCTATCACTTCCGTTGTCTTCTGTTATTTACGTATCCAATTTGTCCTTTAATCTAATGTCTGTTAGTAAACTCACTAAATTTTTACAGTGTACAGTTACTTTTTCTCCTGATTCTGTTGTCATTCAGGATTTGAAGACAAAGAGGATGATTGGTGGAGGGCATGAGCATAATGGTCTTTACTTTCTCAATTTCAATGGTCCGATAGCATGTTCTGCTACTGTTTCTCCTCTTGAAATTCACTG